TATATATATATATATATATATATATATATATATATATATATTACACATACAACATGTAATCATATGTAGTAACGTATATTCCCAACTTTTAAAGATATGATACTATCCCCTTTCTCCTTAGACAAAATTCAACCAATAAACAGAGAGATCCGTGTTCACCATAATGAACATAAGAATACATGGACGGAACATATTGTCGCGGGAGTGAAGCCCAATAGATAAGGGGAATAATTGTATGTATTGTAATGGAGTTAATGTACCAAGATGGCAACGGTCGCTATTTTGATACAGTGAAAATAGATACAAAACTCCTGTACCAACATGGCCGCGACGATATAACCCTCTTGCCCCTTAGGCTTCATAGTCCCTCATCTATAATCGCACTTTGCGCTCCGTCCATGTATTCTTACGTCCATGGTGCCCATACATCTAGCTTTTTTTCTTTCTTTCTAGGCTTTCTAGTTTTTTTTTCTTTCTAGATCTCTCAACACGAAAGATCAAAGAAGTCTTGCCGAATGCTCCATCCAGTACTATATCGATATATGTCGATGGAAATGCAAGGAGAGGAACGGAACACCCGTGCATATACTTATGTTATTTCTACATACATTTGGCCGATTATATTCTTTAATTTATATATATATGCAAAACTATATACATGACAGCACAATATAGGACAGTATGTTCTATTTATTAAACTTCTTTTGTTAATAAATTTTTTAATAAACAATGAGTGTCGGCTGACATTTTTTCGACATTATTTAGAGCGATGATTTTAATAACATATATCAAGTTTGACATTTGGAGGATAGTCCGTTTTATCAATATTTACCAAAATTTTATATTTTTAAGAAACTCTATCCAACAAACACAATAATATAATTGTTATATTGCCGTAATATAACGAAATATAATATACAATATAACATGTACGTTACATACAACGTACACTTTAGTTGTAATTTCCTGCTCAAGCGACATTACAGTTATATGACAGAAATATGACACATAAGTAATATATTACCAAAACAAAAAAAAAGTTATATAAGATACAAAGTTATATCTGATACAAGACATACAAAACCACGTATGAAAGTAGAACATATCAACCTGAGTACAAGGACCCCAAGTAAGTTAAAAATCGAGTCGAAATGAATATAACACGTGCCAAGATATTTGTCCTGTTATTCCCATTTCGAAAAAAATTATAACTTAAATCAGATTGCAGTGTTCACCATCGAAATTCCAACTTTTATCCTAAAGCACACTTTAAACATTTCTCATAACTAAATAATGTTGACGTGTTATCACGAGATGTATAATAAAAATTGACGCAATGTAAATGAAATTAGTTTAACTTTAGTTAAGGCTAGGCTAGGTTAGATTAGGTTGGGTTGGTTTTTTGTTTGGTTTGGTTGGGTTGGAATTTTCCCGGAGTAGACATCCAAGAAAAGAAGCAAAGTCCTTCCCTCATTCATATATATATACATTATACATATATATATATCATACAGATTTATTGATTTTTTTATAAGAAATTTCGAGATTTATTTCGAGATATATCTAATTGTATTATAGGACGACGTATAATTTTCACAGTATTAAATTATTATTGCTCTTAATAATAAGTCAAAATAAAAATCCTGGCAGATTTCTAGCCATAACGCGGATAATATTGAAATTTATTATACTTTTAATTTGGTGCGCTTAGTTGCACTGATCTAATGTGTACAAGTTGTAAGGATACAAGCAATGGAAAGTGGAGAGAAAAACGATGCTCCTCAGCTGAATAAAACCCGTATTAATGCAACTTCGGATAAAGTAGAAACCTACGATCAACTTCAAGCTGCTTTCTATTATACCGACCTATACAGCTGCGCTACTAGCGTCATTTGCCCACTTTCGCACACAATGTATACATATACATATACACACACACACATATATATGTATACATTTGTGTGTGTGTGTGTGTGTGTGTATGTGTGTACAAAAGTATCATCATTCTTTTCACATTCAGAAACATGCTAGATAGGAAACCTAATAAGTAACACTGCTTCAGTATGAATCATTATTAATTGGCTGTTTTATAAATTATTTTTGCAATTGACGTAACTTGAGATAACTTGAGATAATTGAAAACTAATTTTTTTTAATATAAAGTAGATTATATACACTTAATTCATAAAATGTTTAAGTATATATTTTGATTATTGAGATAATTAAATTATTAATGTGAAACATATAATATATTCACTCAAACTCTACGCGTTCTCATATAAGACTCACCAGTAAATTTATTAAGACGCTACTAATTAAGACGCTAAGTATAAAATATGGACACTACACTTTTTTGTAACATATGCTAAGGAATATAACTGTAAAAATATTGTGTATATATGCTAAAGTACTTACTTCACCTGTATGGGTCATGATATGAACAGCGTTTACAGCTCTTTCATATAGCTTAACTCGTGCCATGTTCTTATGCACAGCGTACTCTTATTGATCCTATAACATATTAAATAAAAGCACATTTTTTTAATTTGTCAAGCACACACATGTTAACATATGTATAGACATAAATAAATTTTATAGAAATGCTAGACTTTAATAATAACTTTAATGATTTATTCTTATGACAATTGCATAGAAATATTGTACACGAACTATACAGGTGACAGAAGATCTGTGCAGGAGATACACAAATTAAAGATATATGATACACATAGACCAGATGTACATAAAAAGCATTTCTAATGTGCAAGTATATGTTGTAAATAGAAATTAATAATGTATTAAATTTCAATAATAGAAACAAAGTTTATTGCAGTACTCTTGGTTTCCATACATTTTTAGAGTCATATTTAGAGCAAGAAGAAACGGGTTTCAATCACAAAATATACATAAAAAATTGTTTAATATATCGACGTGTTAACCTCATATCAAAGTAACAGAAATCGACATCATACCTGCATGTGAGTATATAAAGATGAATCATTGAAAACACTGTGGGTGAGAATTACTCTCTTTACTTTGAAATCACTAACTGCACTATAGTCACGTTTTCCAATGTTGCTTTGTCAAAGCAAGCACAGGTTAACTGAGTCACCAAGTATTCGCAGATAACTTGGAAAAGCAAGTTGCGCCTAACATCGAGCACAGTCGCCAAGTGAAAGCAGTTGCACAAGATGGCGGCGATGTTAGTAACATGCGCACTACGCGGCCCGTTACTTATGCCCAAGCTGCGATCGGAATGTGCCGTGCGACTATGTGGGGGTATAGCCTTGCGTTCTGCGTCACATGGCCGCACACGTTTGCTTGCACGGACAAAGACTTGATAGGCAAGTCAGCATATTTTAAAAAGTTGTTTTATATCTGTATTATTTTAATATTCATACTTAAAAATAATTGTAAGTCTCCTAACCAGATTATAGTAATATATTTTTTAAGTATATGTGAGATTAAATGATAACGTCGGGACGTTAAGTAAAACACGTTATTATATAAGCAGTATTATTAGTAAGCAGTATTATTAATAATAACAGTATTATATAACAGTGAGAGCCAGCTTACAGTTTCTCTACCACGAAGTCACAGCAGACAGTAACCAACTGCGTATATTCTTCTTACAGAATTCTATATATAGCTTCGCTCAATGTGGCAACGTCGCGATTACATCATATTGTTTAAGAAATCCCCACTTAGGCCATGATTCTTCACCACACGGTACGCTTCTAATCTTGTGTACAAGGACACATGTGAAAAGCTAGATTATAAAGCGTTAACAGGTTGTCGTAGGTTAACTAAAGTTAACCTACTGTTAACTAAAGTTAATAGAGTGCGTTAGTCTTTCCAAAGCATTTTACTTGCATAACGAGGTCAACGAACTCTATGTATAAAAGGATAGCTTCGAAGTACTTGCGATGTTAAACAGATCGTAGTTTAGGGTTCAAATCTTAAGTTAATACATCTATATATACATACCCTTAATCCTTATTTTTTATTGTTATCGCTTATTGATCTGTATTTATATTGGAATTATGATATCAGACTTTGACTTCAAGAATTGTGTAAGCAAAACAATGAAACAAAGAAATGTCCTCGTTTATTTATAGCGAATGGTTCAATATTACTATCCGTTCTGAAAACATTTACCTCCAAATATTTTTCCATTCAAAGAAGATAAATTGTATCGATGATGCCACTGTCACCATTTTATATTATGTCATACTTTTTTTTACGATTTGATGCATACTCACACATGTAATTAGGAACAGGGAAGAAGAGGGGAGAAAGGTTATCTGATACTCTGTGATAAGTTTTAGAACGCATCTGCTTTGTTCAATACAAGAACTTGGTTCTCCAATTTAATCAAACCCCTAACCCAATCTAATCTAATCAATAATTCCTAAGATTAACCTAACCCAGTCTATAATTCCACAGATTTCTTTCCTCAGATTTATAGAATATCTAAATTATTGTTATGTGCATGTTTAGACACATATTACACAACGAAATATGTTTCGGAAAAGTAGAAAACGATGTGCGCATTTATACGTATATAATACACGATAAAGAGTACATTCTCTTCCCGATACATTTTAGAACACATCTGGCATCCTGTAAGCAGAGCTCGGATCTCAGCGACGCTTGCCACCAGCCTCCCCACTCCACCCACCTGATAGCTGCCGTGCGGCGCGAGAGGCAGTGCCGTATACGTCGATCTAGCGGTCTAGTAGACAGCGTAGCAAATGAGTCACTGTCTTATAACGCCGCTGTAAAGCTATGTTTTGTTTTGGAATAATAAGCTACAGAATATTTATTTACACTTATCTAAATATTTTATACATTATTTTTTTGAATGTTATTTCTTTTAATCAAATTACTTCGACATGTACCCAGTAAACACTAGATATTCCTGGAATATAAAATGTTTCTCAAATTCAAAATTAACACCCCGAGAATATTCCTAACCACCTAGTTTTTAGTTATTAATGAAAGAAGATTGTTGTGCGCGAAAATGCACAAATCTTTAATTAATATCTAAAAATCTATGTGGTCACTTGCAAAATGGTAAAGGACATTTTTGTTCTGTTTGATCTAATATGTAAGTATACAACGACAGATGGCGCCACTACAGCTCATCTACCACATCGTGTGCGATTATTCACTAATCTTCTTTAATTAATATCTCGAGATTTATTGCGAATATTGCAAAACGATATAGGACTTTTATATTCGTCTCAATCCATTCTATGTTTCTATAAAAATTACGAAAGAGAATCTATGACACCCTGTGAAACTATATGAAACTTTTGGAATACGAACGGAATATTTTAAGAATATCTAACGTTTACTGAGTAAGTACACTACAGACGACGTATAGGTGTAATTAAAAACTGTAAAAATTATCTTTTTAAAAAAAGGTAAAAAAAAGAAGCCAAATGCACGCGCTTTCCCAGGTAGCAACGTGACGTGATTTTCACGTCAGTTTTTGGTTATTCATGATGTAAATTATCCTTTTATAATCACGTAATAATGACGTGAAAATGACCGGAATAAATCACAGTTCACTGACGTCAATAATAAAACGTGAAAATGACGTGTCGGAATATCCTTATTCAATTTTATTTTCTAACAGAAACTACTTGTAAATATCACAGCATGTGCTGATTTTACTTGAAAATTTTAATTACTTGATTCCAATGTTATATCACATTAAAAAATTCTCAGTAGCACTGGGACTCGAACCTGGACCATGAGGCATCTCCTGGATTATGAGTTTGTTGCTTAGACACTATACCACTTCTTTAATCAATATTATCAAACGTTTTACATTTTGTTTATATGTGTTATACTTAACACAGTGTAATATAATTTTTTGATAATATGATTTAATAAAATGATTTAATTTTAATAAAAATCATATTTTTCGTACCTTTATTGTTAATTTAACTCCTAGCTCTCTCTAATGAGATGAGGTCTACAAAATCCCGCATATTCCATTTCGTTATCTTTAAATTTTCATAGTAAACATTTTTTTTTATTGTTAACTGTTATTAAATAGATAAAGTCATAAAAGACTATAAACTTTCCTAGTAAGCAAAAAACATTAAATCAACTTTCTAAAACTTTGATATTATGTATATTATTGTAATACTTCTTTATAATATTCTATAAACGTTTTTAAAACGTTGCTTAATAATATTACATTTCAAACATTAAAGAAATGTTGTACAAACATTCCAAAACATATTTTTTGAATGTTGTTGATAAATAAGTAAGAAACATTAAATTAACATGTTTAAAACGTTGATCCCAGGTAGCACACGTTCATATACGTATTTTATACGTATGTTTCATAATGGGAAACTAGAAACGCTAAACATAAACGTTTATGAAATCATAATTTAAGAAGTGTGTTTAACGTTTCTACAGTCAAAAGAGTTTTATTTTTTCGATAAACTTTATCGAAATATTTGTAACCAAGGTAAACATATCTTACATAAATATTTTATGCATGTATCTCCAACTTCTCTTTTATTATATAAAATATTATAACTATAAATAGTTTATTTTTGTGGTTCTCCTAAATAATATTATAAGAAAATTATAATTAGTGCTTTGGCTGCATATGAGGATAATAAAAAACAGTATCAATTGAGGAAATAGCGCAGCAACCAAGATAGTAGACTAGGAAC